CTGGTTTAACAAGTCAGTATTCCACAAAGGAGCAGCTTGCTGAGGTAAATATATCTTTGACAATCTATATAAATAATTGTGACACAATATTTTTATCTTAAATCAGTGCAAACCATTTTTATAGAAAGAGACTCAAATTGGTAAGAATATATAATGTTTAGTTTTATGTTTGTTTATATAAAGATACATATGTTTGTGTTTTCAAACTAGTTTTGACATGGCAACTATATAGACAAGTTCATGCATTTTTTTGCAACATTTTTGAAGTGATTTGCCATTGTCTTCTCTAGGGCTAAAAGATTAACTGGCTCAAGGTCACCCAGCTGGCTGCCATATTTAAGAACTTTTAATTTCTGCTTCACTGCTTTTAATCACTACATTGCTTTTAATCACTACTTATTAGAAACTGGTTCTAATAAATACCCATACATATATACTTATCTGAGATTTCCAAATAATTGACTCAAGCCAGTTTACAACAAAACACAACATTATAACATCAGCAGATTAAAATTACTTCAAGAAATAAAGCATGGTACTATTCAATTAATCAATCCAGTAACAAAATCCAGTTTCAGACTCCAAAGGCTCTCTGGAAGAATATACACTGCTCAAAAAAATAAAGGGAACACAAAAATAAGACATCCTAGATCTGAATGAATGAAATATTCTTATTAAATACTTTGTTCGTTACATAGTTGAATGTGCTGACAACAAAATCACACAAAAATTATCAATGGAAATCAAATTTAGCAACCCATGGAGGTCTGGATTTGGAGTTACACTCAAAATTAAAGTGGAACAAAACACTACAGGCTGATGCAACTTTGAAGTAAGGTCCTTAAAACAAGTCAAAATGAGGCTCAGTAGTGTGTGTGGCCTCCATGTATCTTTATGACCTTCCTACAATGCCTGGGTATGCTCCTGATGAGGTGGCGGATGGTCTCCTGAGGGATCTCCTCCCACACCTGGACTAAAGCATCCCCTAACTCCTGGACAGTCTGTGGTGCAACGTGGCGTTGGTGGATGGAGCGAGACATGATGTCCCAGATGTGCTCAATTGGATTCAGGTCTGGAGAACGGGCGGGCCAGTCCATAGCATCAATGCTTTCGTCTTGCAGGAACTGCTGACACACTTCAGCCACATGAGGTCTAGCATTGTCTTGCATTAAGAGGAACCCAGGGCCAACCGCACCATCAATCAGTGTTGCTACCTAAGTGGACAGTTTGATTTCACAGAGGCGTGATTGACTTGGAGTTACATTGTGTTGTTTAAGTGTTCCCTTTATTTTTTTGAGCAGTATAGTTTCTAGGAGTTCATAACTATGCATATGGGGGTTGATGGAAAAACAGCATTTTCTAGTTTCCCAAGTCCCCTCCCTTGTAGACCTGTTTTTGCAAAATTTGTCTGACATGACCAAAGCATCTGTCACTACAAAAAATTTTTTTAAAACACTAGTCTTTATTTCTCTATGCTATAAAAATATCCTGCTTGTTTTCCAAATGACTGTTGATTTGAATAAGAAAAGAATCATCATTGAAATGAGCACACAAACACATTCTCATTGTGAGCATTCTACTTCCATTTTGAGAGATATTGCTTGAATGCAGATGGAGGAGGTCTGTGTTCAGCTCATGTTCCCTCCCCTCACTGACTTTCTTTTAATCTGTGTTATGCTTAGTTTTTGCACAAATAGTTTATAATTTGACAGTCTGCATTAGGTATACAAGTCTAGTTTTGAAATCGTATATTGTCAAAACCTATGGTAATACACCAAATTTATTACATTTCGTTTCTATATTTTTCATTTGGAAATGAGTGGGACTTGAGAATGAGTACTTCTGAGATAGCTGCAGCCTCTGTCAGAAAGTAGGAAAAAAATTGCAACTATTCATGTCCATCCAAAGAATGGAAGCATATGAGGACGATCCATATCACTTAAGAAAACGTCTCATTACTAATCAGGCTCCTCCTCTTCTCTACTGGAATATATATTTTTTATTTGCAACTCCTTTTTGGTTGAAGGCATAGAGAGATAAGCATGACCAAATCGTTTGAATGCCATTCCTTAGCATACTGTATTCAGTAATAAGTCTATTTTGAGAAATAGACTTTTCTGTTCTACTTTGGTAGGAATCCTACAAAATCAGTTGTGTTTCTCTGTGTATTTCCTCAATAGGTAAAAAACTATTTCAGCTCAATGGATAAAAAAACGTTAGAACTCCGTGCTGTTCACCAAGCAATAGAAACAATTGAGGAAAATATCCAGTGGATGGATAAGAACCTTGAAAAAATCAAGACATGGTTACAGATTAATAGCGAAGTATGAAATTGTATGTGAACTATTGATTCGGAATTGACAGAAGTAAGTTTTCAAAACTATACGTATTGTCTGTAAATGGATAGAAATCTCTGCAACAGGATTGTTCCTTAATATATTTAAAATTATTCCATTTAGATTAAGTTGGGGCTTGTGGAAAACAAAGGCAAGAAAACACTACGGTTTTTACCACTATAATTCAATATTCTACACAAGTATTTTTAATGCAATTGTTTTTAGAATAGAATGGAATGGAATGGAATAGGAATTCTTTATTAGCCAAGTGTTATTGGATACAATAGACAGTTTCAAACAAGTGTGTACAGGTAGTCCTTTACTTATGACAGTTCAGCCCAAAATTTCTGTTGCTAAGTGAGACAGTTGTTAAGTGAATATTGCCCCATTTTATGACCTTTCTTGCCACAGTGAATCATTGCAGTTTATTAACATGATTGTTAAGTTAATCTGGCTTTCCCATTGACTGCTTGTCAGCAGGTCACAAAAAGTGATTACATAACCCTGGGGTACTGAAACTGTCATAAATATGAATCAGTTGCCAAGCATCTATATTTTAATCATGTGACCATGGGGATGCTGCAATGGTCATAAGTGTAAAAAATAGTCCTAAATCAATTTTTCAGTTCCATTGTAACTTCAATCACTAAATGAATGGTTGTAAGTTGAGGACTACTTATAATGGCCATTATTTTAAAGTAACCATTACTTTAAAATAACAATACAGACTCCAGAGGCTAGAATTAAATAGTATTTATCAGTAACTGAATATTAAAATGAGCTTAAGAGAATGCTTAAGGGCTTGCTACTCAGGGCAACTATAAACCATAAAATTAAGACAGTGTATAAGTGAAGGGTAACTGTTTTTCTCTTGTCTGTTATAGCACAATTTTAAGGGGGGGAATTCATTTTGTATCATCTCAAAACTGTACATAATTGTGGCCATTCCATTGTAGTTCTCAGTGACCACTCATTCATCAATTGTTGAAAGTTACAACAGCATTGAATATAAGTGGTATTGGCAATCAATCCTTGAAGCTTCACCTTTCTTAGCACTCTCATGGACACACGATTATGATCTGGGTGCTTGGCAACCAGCTTATGATGGTTGCATCATTCTGCGGTTGCACAACTACCACTTGTGATCTTCTCTGCCAGCTGCCTGCAAGCAAAGTCAGTGGGAAAGCTGGCAGGAAATGTTACAAGAGACCAGTGTAAATTATTCTCATTACCACAGCTTTTTCTCCTGAATAGCCTGGCTATGGAGTACAAGATCCTGGGGATGGATCCTGGCGATCTTGTATTTCCTTGCCCATGCCTATAACACCCCACCACCCACAGCTGCCCTTTGTGCACCTTCGCTCACCTAGTAGCAGCCACGCTATGCCAATGCGGCTGCCTACACATCTTTCTCTCAGAATGGGACAATTTGCTGCGGCCAACTCACTGTGGAACAAGTTGCCATTGGACAATTCACTGCAAGACAATTCAACAACTCAATGTAATTATTTAAAGTAATTTTTAAAATATTTTTAATTTTTGTCATTCACATTTCATTTTGTCCCTTCTTTGGTATCCTTTCATTATTCTAGTCCACTATTACTTAGATATTAGTGTAATTCTTGTCCCGCGGTGAGTTGTCCTGCAGTGAGTTGGCCATGACGAGTTGTCATAGACCCTGTTCCCCCACACAGCAATAGCTGGTCCCACCATACTTAAACCACACTAAGCCAGCCACTTACCCACTTGCCAGCCTGCTTGAGAGATGCCTAGGACTTGTAACTTCCTGCCAGGTTCTCCACTGACTTTGCTCATTGGAAGTCAATAGGACATTGTGAGATAGTCCTCAATGATACCAGTGGAACTACCATGATACCGTCATCACTAAGCAATGGGGTCATGAGACGACATCCTTTGCAACCATATTGCACAGTGATGGAAATTCTGGTCACAGTTACTGTTGTTAAGTGAGAATTATCTGCATGAAGATGCTTGTGTAATTCTTTGCACCTGGCAAAAATGATCACTTTCAACAAGCTTAATTACTCACTGAGGACATTTTAATTAGATATATTGGTGCAAACTGTTATACTTTATTTTTGGAATAATAGTATAAAACTAATATAGAAGGAGGTATCTGTATTTCAAGAATGTCATTCCTTCATTAATGTTCTTGTTTCACCCTCATTAATTTGTCTACTTATCCACAAGTCATACATTTGTGTTGTGGTGAAAGGCTTTTATTAAACATTTTGATGGATTTCACAACAACCCTGTTGCAAAAACTACAGTATTCCCAATTTCTGGGAGTATCGAGAGGTGTATCTTTGCCTTGGAATATATCATTTCCAAAGACCTCTTTGCGTTAACATATGCTGAAATATTAGTATTCTTGGTGTAACTAAATGGCAGAGTATTGCACTATTTCAAATGTGATCATTTATAGTTGAACAGCATTGAATTTCAATAATTAAGACACAATTCCTAGTGGCAAAATATGTGAAAAGTCCATAATCCACAGCAGTACATAAAAGCAAGGTTAGACTGGTCTGTAAAATGTGTATGCCTATGGATTAGGTAATAGAAATTGATAAGATATAACAAAGCACATTTAAATTTTTTTCAATAGAATTCAAGTTGCAACAGAATACAAAATAACAAATATAAAGTAATACATAAAATGTTTATTAGTGTGCCACAGTAAAATGTCAAATACAGTTCAGTATTGACATTACATGTAATTAAGGACAGTCTTCAGTATGAAAGATGCAATCCACAAGGAAATCTTTTATTGAATCCATTTGAAAAAAGTAAACATTGTGATAGAAAACACCATGCTCTTTCTTTTAATCCCCATGCAGGTGAAAAGGAATCACACAGCTAAGATTCCTAGAGCAACTAATGTTGGTTTAGTTTATAGCTGCCTAAGAACATGTGTGATCATTTTAACATGCAAGTGGAGAGAGAGAGATTTCAAAGCACATCTGAATCTGGAACTATATCCATCTCTCACATACCCTGCATGGAATACTTAAAGAAAGGAAAGCACTGAAATCTGATTAAGAATTATTCTGAAATCAGCTGTGCCGTATATCTATGCACTAGGACAGTGTTTCTTGAACTTGACAAGTTTAAGATGTGTGGACTTCAAATCTTAGAATAGCTGGCTGGGGAACTAAAGGAATTGAAAGGCACACATCTCAAATGTTGCTACGTTTGAAAAACACTGCACTAGGATAAGGATTCTTTGCAGGTTTTCAATTCCTAGGATGGGTACTATGCCATCCTATGCATTCAGCTCTTGTGTTACATATTGCTCAGATTAAAGCAGATAGTATAGAACAGTTTTGGGGGAGGGGATTGGTGGGAAAAGTACCAGTTACCTTTCTCTATAAGTTTGGATGTAGATATCCTTCTAGGAAGCCAGTGACAAGATGTAGCACAAATGCTTTGCATATGATGCAGGTTTTAGAGGATGGCACTGTTCATTATGTGATAAGAAGCCAAGGCTGCAACATAGAAGTTTCTACTCTGCTTCAATTTTGAAAACTTTGCAACTATTTACTCATTTTCCCCTAAGTGTTTTCCAGCAAAAGTACTCATAGGCAATTGGCCTAAATAAGAAGGCAACCAAATTCATGTTTAAAGCATTCCTTTTTATAGCTAGCCTAGATTCACTGAGATTTACAGGCACTGTGGGTAGATTATGTGCAAAATTTTGCATATTTCACTCCTATTAAATCCATAAGAAATATCTTTCTTACAAATATAAAGCATTCTTTTCTTCTCAAAACTTAAGAAAATGACAGTAATACAGACAATAAAGTGAGTGTCTAGAAAATATGAGTTCATCCTTGAAAATAGCAAAATAAATGCTTTGCATGCCAAAATAGCCCAATACCATAAAATGTCCAAGATGCTATCTTTTTGCAAAATTGCTTTTGTTCAAATGCAGCTGTCCATCAAAATAAAGAATTTTCACACTGGTGATAAACATTCTGAAAAGATAAAAATATATTCTATTCTTAAAAGTATGTCATAACATTCAACAGCTGAGGCAGGAATTTTAAAATAGAAAACTAAAATATCCAGATTAGCAGGATAGACAGGGTTGACTTAAACTGACCAATAATGTTATTTATAGAATGTATAGAGCTCTTCATCTCAATTTTGTGACTCAATACAAAAAAACAGGATATAAGAATATAACATTGCATCTATGATGTTTCATATAAATAGAATCCTCTTACTGAACCTAATTTCTTTGTTAAATCAAATTTACTTTTACTCCGAAGAGTAAAAACTAGTGTTTCGTTAAAAAAAAAAGGCTAGCAGACTTTTTTTTTTTTTGGAAATTGAAGGTTATTTTTTTTAATCAGATGGGGTATAAGCAAAGGCTGGATGGTGACAATAGGCATACTCATTTTCTTATTCTTCCCAAATGGCTGGGAAAGAGGTCTTACTGTAATTCTGAACTTATCTTTCGCAGTATGCTTCAAAATTAACTAGAGGTCTGTAGAAAAAATTAGCTCAGGGTCAACCAACAACAGTCACAGGGAGAATATGTTTTTTAAAATGATTTATTCCAACTTCAAGGATTATGGCAGTGATCTATTATCACCAGAGAGAGAGCAAGCTTATTTCTTTTGTCAACGATCCAATTTTACTTCTTATTTGTAAGAAACAAGGAGAAAGTGTGCCTCTGTATTTTTGTGCTGATATTTTCAGGAGAGGCCTCCAGGGACTGCAAAAAGGGGCTGATACATCATGTAGGTTATCCATCTGTTGCTTCAAGTGTACAGCAATGGTTCCCTAATGGGAAAGATGTAAGAGGACATCTTACAAAGAAGGCTCCATGTTGGGAAAGACTTTAGGACGTCAGAATTATGTGCTATGAGTCAAACTAATCTCTGAAATAGTGAAAAACCTATCCTGACGTCAGGGTTTATAACGACATATTTTCTAAATGTTAATTCATTCTGAATCGCATGCATATTATATATGCATGATAGATAACTTAGGACTGCCTTACCTGATGACGTTTAACTTTTTGTTTGTTTTTCAGATTTTGCAGAAGATTGCTCCTTTGCCTTAAAAGAGAAGAAGAAGAAAAAGAATCGTGACATTAGTTACTGCATCCATGTAGTAAACACTGAGTTTACATACTGTATTATGAATTATGTCTTGGGGGGACTGGTTTTGGCTTAGCATATTCTGTGAAGTAGGTCTATAAGACATGATTAATCAAACTATAGTAAAGTGATGTGTTAGCCAGGCCATTTTAAAAAAAGGAAAATAAAGACTTGGGGTGGGGGGTGGAGAGATTTGAAATAGACAAAATTATCAAAAACCAGGGCCTGGGTTAAAAGTACACAAAATAAAACAGTCTCTCTTTAAGTTAATTGGTACTTTCATGTGTCTTAGAGATCCAACATTTGTTCAGAGCAGTGGCACCCAATAGCAAGTGTATTTATTTCTTTATTACACAGGTTATCTTTGACCTGACCACCATTGGGATGAAATTTCTGTTGCTAAGTGATATGGTCATAAAGCATGACACATGACCATATCACTTAGCAACTAGCAATTCCAATGGCTGTTAGCTAAGGCGACACCCCAATCTAAGTCACTCCAGACTTGATCCCTCCCAGCCCCAATATAAACGTCACAAACAGAAAAAAGGTTTATCATTTACATGTTTAAAAAACGAAGGTAGAAGTTAGTATTAAATATGCCTATGAATCTAGGCAAATAATGTACAAAGATCCCATAAAATCTCCAAAGGATCATTAGCTTCTGCATGAAATTTTGGAATAATGTTCCCATAAGTATTTTTCAGGCTAAGGTATAGTTTCAATTGATTATAATCATTCTTTTTATCCCCTACTGTTTCATATTGCTCAAACGGAGTACAACAACAGGTTCATAGTTTCTATTCTAATAGGTGATAGTAATGAAACAAGTTTTTAAAATATCAGGCTTCCTGACTAACAATAGAGGTAAGGGAATTACTTAAAAACTGCATGTAAGATGCTTCAGAAATTCTCCAGCTCATACAAGAGACGAAAGTGGAAAAAATTACACTAGGTAAAATCGTTATGCTAAACAATCTCTTACCTTCTTGGGCGTTTTGGATTTCTTTTCCTCCTTCCTAGGTTTAGATGAGGCAGCACCTTTTGATTTCTCCTCCTATGCCCAATAGAGAAAAATGCTTGTTCATTTTTCAAGAAATAACATCTTTTCAAAATGCATTTGCATGAGATACATACAGGTGGTCCTTGACTTATGATCACAATTGGGACCAAAAATGGTCCTGAAGCAAATCACATTTGTTATGTCAATCCAGCTTCCCCCAATTAACATTTCTTGTTATAAGCCAGTTAGGAAGGTCATTAACCATGATTAGGTAACCACAGGATGTTGCTATCGGTAGTAAATGTAATCTGGTTTTGCAAGTGCCTGAATTTTAATTATATGGTGGTAGTGCGGTGTCCTAACTGAAGACAGGTCAACAATCACGTTTCCCTATTTCAACCATCATTGAATGGATGATCGTTCAGTCAAGCATTACCTATACAGAAAAAACTGAAATTCATATGATGGGAGATCTGACCCAAGAGATCAGAATAACTGAAAGGAGAAGCTAAAGCTAGTTGTTTAAAGGTAGAACACCATATAGTTCCATAATATAAGTTTAAGAGGCATTATGTTTTATATAATGCAATTGCTGAAACTTTCGTTAAGGGAACATTGGACTGTGGAGAATAAGAAGCTCCTTATGTCTCCTGCCAAGCATCCCCTTTTCTGCTTCTGCTTTATCTCTCCTGTGGAAGATACATGTTTTCTAAAGCTTAATGTTTAAATATGCAGGTTCCTGCATATATTTTTCTATTGTGTAAGAATAAATTCTTGCGTTTTATTGAGGATATGTAAACATGCACATGGAAAAACAGCCCTGTTTGTATTGTCCAGGAGAGGCAAACAAACAAAAAGAAGCACAACTCAGCACAACTTTATTGTGCGAAAAGCTTTATTAGCTTTTATTTATTGGAGACATTCAAAACAACTTATTTTTGAGGAGTGAAGACTTTCTTTGGATAATTTAGGCAGCATTTGCACTGGAGACATTGTTGAGTATGAATAAAACTCAAGATTTACAACTAAGAAATGAAAGCAAGAACAGGCAATACTTGTTCCCTCATTCCATTTGACTCTTAAGAAACCTGAATTAGCATTTAAAACAACCAACTCTTTACTCCATTATTTGAGTTAATTGATGCATGTTCCTGCAAAGACTAGAAATAAAATGCCACTCTTAAACAGCATTTGTTTAACAGGTCTGTTCTTAGCTTTAGAAGCCAATGTGGGATTAACCTCAGCTATATTCTTATATTTGGTAGAATTTTTAATTACCTAAAATCAGGTTACCTAAAAATTAAACCAAACCTACCAAAGTAAGGAGTTTTGGTAAAGCTATATGCAAATAATTGTGAGTAGGTAAACCATGAAGTTTGTGTTTTTAAAGAATATTTAAATGAATCCAGTCCTCAAATTCTCATGGAAACCAGGAGAGGAAATAAAATTATGCAAGCAAAATTAAAAACATGAAAAATACATATTCTAAAAACAGGCAGATGGCGCTCTAGTACAAAGCATAGTATAAATGGGGATGTTTTACTTATTTAGAGGAGTGGCAATAAACTGAGAAAACATTTATAAACTATTTTTCTATTAGACATTCACTGGATAACTGCAAGAGAGACAGAAAATATTATTGTTTTTTTAAATTCATTTCACACAGTATCCATAAAATAAAAAAGCAGAGCTAACCTTGTTTATTACAATCAACCAAATGACACAGAGGAGAATAAGTTTTCAAGTTTCAAAATCTCTGGCAGTGTGTTTTGCTTTATGATTAAGAACACAGATAAGTTTTAAAATTAGCCAGTGTATTTTTCTCCTTTTTCCTGGTCTATTTCCTTATTGAAGAATTCTTGAAACTCACACTTGGACATAATTAAGGTCTAATAAAGATTATTGAACAGAAGTTGTTGGATTTCTTCTGACACATCAATATGGATTTTCATGCACAATAAAAAAAAGATTCATTATACACATTTATGTAATATGGTATAGTGGTGAAGGTGCAGGCCTAGAAACCAGGAGACAAAATTCTAGGTCTTCCTTAGACATGAAAGCTGGGTGGTTAACTTTGAGCCAGTCCCTGTGTTTCAGCCCAACCAAACTCAAGGAGGTATTGGAAAAAAAATAAGAGGCAGAAGTACTATGTTTGCTTGCCGCCTTAAGGGCAAAGTAAAAATAGTAGTACAACTCTGATTTGGGTCGTTTTACACTCTTCGAATGAGATTCTTAAATATGGCTTATATTCAACAAGTAGAATGCAAATATTGTATAATATACTTTTTAAAAAGTATATTAATTCAGAACCACATAACAAATCAAATGTTTTACTTGCTGTTTTATTAAACAGAAAAGGGCATTTTGCAAATTGTACGTTTTACTACTTTTGCTCCTTTAATGTAGCAGGATGTGACTGAGTTAAAGGACACCTGATCTCCTTGCCAAAAAAGAGGCCTACCTTTGTTGAAGGTGGCTGTGAAACAGATTTACCACAATGGTCAAAATCCCCAGAGAGAGCATCAATGGCTGCTGAGTCACTATCTGGTTTCTGAAATAATAATTACCATTTTAAAGAACTGCAAAATTAAGTACTTTTCCAAGGCCATCTCTAAGCTCTAAACCAAAATCAGAAATTTAATTATCAAATATCCATTCAAGAGTTTCAAAGCATATTTGGTACAAAAGATATAGAGCAAATGAAACAAGAACTTTCAAAATGCAGCAATATTTCCAAGTGCCACAGGCCTTTGTTATTAAAATTAAAACATCCTTATTTTTAATGCTAACCACTGGATCCTACTCCCTGAGGTTCTTTACTGGGTTAATTGATATGAAGCGGTAGACAAACTACTGGGAACAAAAGCCCACCAAGCTGCAGCAGCAGAAGTAATAAAAATACTCCATTATCACTACCAGAGCTCAGTTCTATTTGGTTTCTAATTCATGTTTGTCATCAGAATCCTGCATTTCTAAAGAATTAGATCAGTTTCTTGACCTAAAGTTTCTTGAGCTAAACCACCCTGGGCCAGATGGATTGTGTAGAAATTTAAATAAAATAAGAATTGTTCTTTCCAATATTATTACAGATAGAAGCTATCTTATTTTTCATTGGTCTTAACTAGTCAAGACACCTTTTCCTCTGAACAATATTAAAATTCATGCAACATTAAGGGATTCATATCCATCATTTTGGTCCTGGACGTAGATTCATATCTCAATAAACTAAGCCAATCTACTGACCAGCAAGCATAACATAGAATTGAAAGTAATACTTCCTTACTGTTTGTTCTTTGGGTTTCTCACCATCTTTATCTTTTGGCTTTATAGGCTTACCCTTTGACAAAGATAAACATAATTAAATATCAGTTTCATTCATCAACGTATTCAAATCTAGTCATCTATTTTAAATAATCTAGAATGCTTAGATTGTTCAACTTTTCCTAATTCGGTTGGTTCCAGACTACCTTCATGTTCTTCAAAAGTAGCACTCTGCATGCAGAAACTTTAAATGTTTCATTGTATTTGTGCAAAAACTGTAGCTCCATTACAAAATGGAGTGATTGGTGATCCATCACTGGAGGTTTTCAAGCAAAGATTAGACAATCATTTGTCTGGAATGGTATAAGGATTCCTGCCTTGGGCAGAGGGCTGGACTAGAAGACCCCCAAGGTCTTTTCTAGTCTTATTATTTGCATGTATGTAAAACACAGTTTCAAAAGATATGGAGCATGAGGTTTTCATTTTCAATGTCAAGCAATCTGCCATAGTTGCTCTGAGTCTAAAGCATCCTTATCTAACTGACTCTTAGACAACAACTCCCATGATTCTTGATTAACAGAACCCATCTTGACTAATGCTAAAGGATATTCAACTTCAACACATTAAGAAGACTCTAGGTTGGGCAATACTGTTATTTATGAGTAATGTACATTTAAACACTGGAGGCATCTTCTATTTGTTCATCAATGTCATTTGACAATCTAGTCCTGCTTCAGTACATTTATTTCTTTAAAGAAAACTAATGTAAACTTGACTTTAAAAGTATTGATGGTATTTACCTTTTCATCCGAGTCCAAAAGATGTCTATATTCAGGAGGGATTGTATCATCTCTTTCTCCCAGTTTTTCTCTATATTCAGCTTTGGCTTTTTCCTGTAAAAAGTAGTGTTGTTTTTTTTAAATGGCATTTCTTTTAGAGTCTAATGAATCCCAACCATGATTTATAGATGACAGTCTCATCTATATCTCAGCGGCACTCTTGGTAATCTTTTCAGAAGAATTAAAATATTTAAAAACTGATATCACATAAACATTACAAAAAATGCCACAAAACATTGCATGTTCAAATATATGACAGGTTTTACAATGCCATCTAAATGCAAAGCAACATATATGCTTTGTAAATTACAGTATTTTTTACTCTGAATTATAAGATTCACCTAGCTTTTGGGGAGGAAAACAAGGGGGGAGGGGGAATCTGCCTCTGCCTCCCAGCAATTTTCCTCCTTCCAGCAAATGGCAAACAGCCAGTTTCAGTTTCAGCACAGCCTGATTAGCACTAGCAGCTGATTGTTCGTTGGGTCGGCCTCCCAACAATCAGCTGTTTCAGGCTGCAAGGATTGCCATCACATATTGCCACCTCCGCACGCCCCATTTTTGGCATCCACATCCTATTTTCAGCCTCTGCATGCCCCGTTCTCGGCCTCCGTGTGCCCCATTTTCAGCCTGTTCTGGGCAGTGGGAATCAGAATGGGCAGAAAATGGGGCACATGGAGGCTGAAAACGGGGAGTGCAGAGACAAAAAAATGGGATGTGTAGGCCGAAAAAGGGGCATGCGAAGGTGGCAATAGGCAATGGCACCTGCAGCCTGAAACAGCTGATCGTCAGAGGCCGATCCAATTGACAATCAGCTGCTTGTGCTAACTGGGCTATGCTGAAGCTGAAACAGGCTGTTTGTTGCAAGGAGGAAAACTGTTGGGAGGCAGAGGCCAAAGGGTGGGGGCTGGCAGGTGGGCGGGACTATGGCAACATTTGGTATATAAGATTGATAGACATTTTTCACCCATTTTGGGGGGTGGAAAAAGTGTGTGTCATACTCTGAAAAATATGGTAGTTCAAGAAATACTACAACATTTAAAAACATTTTTAAGTCAAACCTCTGAATTTTCAATTCTTTGGTGCAAAATATTTTGTAAAAATTAAATTAACACAGATTATATATAAACAAATATGTAGTTTTTAAATAACATTTTTCTTGCACAGGTATAATTTTGCAATCCAAACATATTTCATATAAACAAAGACTACAGAGAGAAATAAAAAAAAATATTTTGATTTTCAGTATTTAAAGAGGCAAACAAAGGGATCAAAAGAGTTCCCTAGCAGGAATACATAATAAAATGGGCAGTGAAACAAGCAGTGACTTTAGAGAGCTGACACAGAAAACAACTCTTCTCTACTTCAGCAAACTTCCCTGGCTCAGTCCATCTGTACTTCTGCCAACTACTTAGCTCAGGACAGTTAGTTTTCTTTGCAACTCTGGAAAACAAGTACAGTACTAATTCACAGTTTGGGGAGACGGGTCTGTTCTTTTCTCACCTTTACTTTATCCAAAACTGGTTTGTTTTCATCTGGGTCAGGCTCTCTTTGTCCCAGTGAGTCAGCAAGAAGGTCTGCAGCGTCATCAAGTTCTTTCCTACCCTGACAGATTTAAGAAAAATAAAAAACACATATATGTGCACAATCACAAACTTCCGGAATGGTAGAGAGATTATGTAGAGCCCAGTCAAAGAGCTTTGAAAGGCTGCAGGAAGATTACAGTCATTTTATTTCTGTACCTCTGACTACAAGCAAGAGAATTCAGCTTTCAATATTTCTAAAACTTTTTTAAAAATAGTTGTAAATCAAATTTAACTCAAACAATGCTCCCTACGGAACTCAAGAACACTACTAGATTGCTCCAACAATCTGTATAAAAAAGCAAATGACTATGTACATATATCTTTAAATCATGCACAGTTTCTTCCAAACTTCAACATCCTGGATTTGAAGTTGAATAATCAACATTCCTAAAACATCAAATGGGCTCATAATACTGAGTTGCCATGTCAATAAATATTGATAGGTTGCTGAAAGTTGCTAATGTCCATAAGTACAGTTATCAGGAAGTATTGCTCTGCTTACTGGGATGACTGCTTCTTTTGGAACAGATGAATGTACAGCAGAAGCAGCAGCAGAAGAAATCACCTCTTCCGTAGGGACAGCAGGCTTGCTAGGAGCTGTAGATTTCTACAAGGAAAGGAAAGGATTCATCAATACATGTAGAAGTGAGACAAAAAGAAGTTAATGCAGAAAATTGTTTCTGATCTGTCCCTTAATGCCCCCTAAATGCTTTTCTAAAACTAAAACTAAAGAATTTACAGAAAATACAACAAGTCTTTCCTCCAGTAATTACTGCTGAAAGGGGAGGGAGAGAGCACCTACTATTCAAAGGGAGTGCCACACTCTTAGCTTCATCTAATCAAGAACTCTACAGTATATGCATAAAGAGGAAGAAGCAAAGGGCATCTCCCCACTTCTATAATGCAAAAAGCTAAAATTTATGAGGGAAGCAATAGATAATTTGCTCTACACTTCTCAAATGGCAGTAATGACTGAAACACAAATACCTTTGAAAATTAGATCACCTAAAGTATTTGGGATTGCCTAAGCCCCTGCTTGCTGCTCAGTGGTGATTTTTAAACCCTTTCTTTATAAAGCTTCAATAGGGATTCTCTCATTTACTTTGCTTCCTCCTCTCCACTCATATTGTTCCTCTCTTGTTTTCTCTTCCCAGTACAGCTGCTCTTGTTTTTCATCTCATCTCCTTTTTCTTCTACTGCTGCTTTAAGTTGGAAGAGATAGAGGGACAAGTGACTCTGTTTTGTGTGTCTATATAATAGGTAGTTCATTCATCTTACAAAGGCAAGAAATTTCAATTAGAAATTACTGTAACATTCATTGATATATTTTTGCCCTTTTCTGAGCAAGATTTCTGGGCAGTGTATATATTCATAAATGCAAATTATCTATAAAAGTGTCACATGAACACATTAATGGATATGAATTCTTCACATCTAGATTCAGCTGCAGTTGCTAATCCTAGGTTGAAAGGCAAGGAAACTAGCATTTACACAGCATTTACATAGAGTCTATAATTTTTTCATCTTCTCTTTCTTTTCTAGAATCCTCATTTTAAGGTCTCAAATAATTTTCAGTTAAATAAATAGCATTTTTAAACTGACCCCTGAAAATCATACGTGTGCCTTTTTCTTTCACATCAGATTTTGGAAGGGAAACCTGCCATCAGCTGAAATTCAAATTTTCCTAGTCTGCTAATAAAAAGAAAACTCCCGATGTTGACTGCCTTTTATAAAAGTCCCTTGTGTTAAAAATTTCTGGCTTATCCAGAAATGTTCTGAAAATGTCAGTTAAAAAATGAACTTGGGATGTAACAATTATGAAAAAAAATGCAAAATGTGTAGTCCAAAGTTATTAGAAGGGATGTAAAACTGACCCTATAAATACATTATTGTACAGATATAGGTGCTTCTATAGTTGAAATAATACTGAATGCAATTCAATAGTAAAGTATACAGTTCTACTACAGTTAATAGAATTTTTATATATATCTAGAGTATGCACATAATTCCATCTGAATGTCAAAAGCTTCTCTCTCTCAAGACTCAACCAATCCTTACCGCAGGTGTTTCTGTTGTTGATGCTGGTGTAGAACAAGAAAAGCCTTCAGACAAAGCATCAAGAAGTTCACTTTCACTCAGGGGCTATAAATCAGAAGAAATTATTTAAAATGTTTTAATACGTGTCTAAATATCCCTGAAGTGACTGAATACAGAACTCTCAGTTTAGAACTCTTAATTAAGAAAGAATGAATAGTCAGTTAAGTATCTAATTTGAACACATTAAGTCATAACAAAAGCTTTCAATGTATTTATTTCTCAACCAGAAACACACACACACACACACACACACCCCTACCTACCTACCTGAGGCTTTTCTTCAGGTTTTGGCAAAAGTGGCTTCCCATCTTTATCCTGTGGAGGGGGAAAAAAAGGAGTCTAGCAATTACTGCACTGTGGCAATTATTCAAATATTACACATAATTCTATCCCAAATTTAGGACATCAACTATCCCATAGAATCAAACAGATAAGTTTCCAGAGTGACCACAATAATAAATGCCTGCCGCTGCTTTTATTAACTGCATCTTTTAATTAGCTTCTGCTCCTTCCTCAAATATCTTTGTGTAAAAGAGGGTGTTGCCCTTGCTGAAAGATGAGCTGGAAGATTTAGCTACTGCAGGATGAATCTTTCTACCAACTTAGAAATTTTGAGAACAGTCAACAAGCAATCAAGTTACATCATTAATGCTAATTCAGGATATTGATATACTGTACAAGGCATTCATGGTCAAGGATCAATTTAAAATGCCACTGTCTAGATTAAAGTGAACAATATAGCTTCCAGAAGTCCCCAAATCGTACCACCAAAATTCAACATAAAAAGCAGGAATAATTGCAGAACGAACATTCTTAACTGCATTTTGCTGTTACGTCAATGAATTTTGCTTTTGGAACTTTAGAAATACTTCGTTCAGTTTTAATGTTTATTTATGATGATGATATAAAAAGGCTCCTGTGACATGATTTTTTTAAATTAAAAAAACAAGACAAGCTAGCTCTTTCTATTTTTTCTTGCAAGGTAACAACTTTCCTGCTCTAGCCCAAATTAGTTAATTATTTTCCTCTTTTGTCATAGTAGGCACCCAAAACCTTCCAGATCCATAATCTAGATCCATAATGTTTATTAATATGTAACCTCCCCTTGCTGATGCCTAATTTAGCCACTCCAGGGGAAGAGAGAAGTTGAAGGGCCATTAAACAAACACTGGTCCTACCCACTTCTGGGATAAGTCTCAAGTTGATGCATTCCTACATTTCTGCATTCCTACATTACATTGGCAAGCCAATTTCTGAAGCCACATCACTTGCAAGATAAAACAGGAAGCTTTTAGGAATTTAATATGTGATTTTTGTAATACAACGGGTATAGTAATATCTCAGAGTTGTCATATTTACAATATGAAGTGTGTAGTACAGAAATATCGCAAATAAGATCCTGAAAAGGCACAGGCAGGGTTATTGGGGTGCTCAAAAAACTCTCAAAAAAGAGACCAACCACAACCACTAAATTGAAGCCTCATAATATTTTTTAAAATGATAACGCTAGCCTCATATTTTCATGGCTACTATTTAATCTCTTTTTTTGAGTCCCACTCTTGCAGTCTTCCCCAATTTCTTTCTTTTTTTAACAAAATTTATTCAGTTTTTCACATTAAAAACAAAAATCTCTTTTTAGTAGACAACATATTTCCGGGTCATCACCTTTACATACAAATATGACAGCAATTATACATTCATATATGCATATTTAATTCTATTATTACCTTTTCCATTCCAAATTTTTAATAAGGAGAGAAACAAACACATTAATTCTAGCCTCTTTCATTAATCTCAGTCAAAACATTTTTTTGTTTCATTTCAATTATTTCAAATATAATCCTTTAATATTTATTTTAAAAATAAAGATAAACAATATGTTTGCCTAATAATAATAATAGTGATAATAATAAAAAAGGTTACCAATGTCTCTCCTTGCTTTTAATAGTCTATATTAACTTATTTAGTTGGTTCTTTAGTCTGTCATATTCCCTTTCCATTACACATTCTTTTTATAAATTCTAGATTAATACAAATTTTAACACTAAAGAAAAAAAAAACAAGTATAGGTTTCCCTCCTTTTACTGCTTTGAGTGTAACACCTCAATGATTAAAATATACCTTTATACCCTCATCTTGATTCCCAATAAACCACTATTTTTAAGAAGTTACAATAATAATCATAACATCTTTTCATTTGGATTCCGCAGCATATTTTCCCCCCTTAATTTTTAATAAGAGTTATCAGTATCTATATTATCCTATTTTCTAAATATTTTTAATTGCAGAAATATTCTTATTACCCCTTGTCACCCTGCAGAATCCCCTTTTTAATTCATCAACCATAATCTCTAAAAAAAACAATTTCTTTTCAACATTTTACTATTTCCGTATTTGTTTATTTCATGTACCTGTTTCTTACTGCTTCTCCTCCCCCTCTTTTCCCCATATCTTTTCTCATTCCAGTTTATATCCCTCTCTTTCTTAATATCTTCCTTTCCCCTTTTCTGCTGGGTCTTTCTGCCTTTCCCGACTTCACAGGTATTCTCCCTTTTGATTGCCTTCTTAAATCTCAACTTTTTAACCTTCCTTCTTTCCCCACTTCTTTGTAGTGTTCTTTGTGTTAATTGTCTATTTAAAATGTCTTCTCCTTGAATCGACTCCTCCTCCTCTGAAGTTCTTTCTTCTTGTTCTTCAATCGCCATTTCCATTTTTTCTAACACAGAGCAAAGTGATTCGCCTCTTTCCTATAGTAATTATCTCATATTTTTAAGTTCCATTTTCAATTCCTGAAGAGATATCATTACACACTCTTATATTTTATAATCGTTAAAGTCCACAAAAAAACACTTTTACTTTCCATCTTTCTTCTTTCAATTTTCTAAAGTTCTCAATTATTCCAGCCCAGAGTCTATACCAAAAACATCAATCAATCCCACAGTCTTTCCTTGCTTTTTTCTTTATTCTGGTTCTGCTTTCACTTTCTAAGATTCTTACTTTGTTTCAATATTTCTTTAATATTATATCCACACAAGTTCATTCAGAAACAGGATGCTTTCCCTTTTGTTTGAGCTCGAGTTTTTGTCAAAAGGTGACACTCTCCATTATACAAAGTCTTCACCTTTTTCCCCTATTTTTTTATTTAGGGTTTTTCGAACCTCAATATTCCAGCACTGTCCATTCTCCAATTTGTAAACTTTATTATTATTATTGTTTGACAATCTTTATTTTATGCCTGTTTATTCCCAAAATATTTTAGTCCAATTTAGTTAAATCTTTAGTTCCGGCTTCTTCCTTTCCTGGTTTGAAGCCCCACTTATTTTCTTATTTTTTTTTCCTGTCCCTTTGTAATTTCACCACTCACTTTTCTTTTCTTAAAAATTCCATGTTACCTTAATCCTGGGGTACTTTTGTTTAGTTGTATTGTCCAGTTGTCCCAGTTCAGATGTTATCCACCTCTTTCTTCCCTCCTGTACAAATCTTAATCCAGCTGAGTCCTCCTCTTCGGGGTGGCCATTTTAAACCACCACTGCAGTTGTCTTCAGGGGGGAAAAGACCAAGCCCAGGGGGGGAGATGCAGCTCCCCTCAACCTGGCTTGCAGCTTCCCCTTACTCCACCACCCCTCCAAGGCAGCTTCAGCCCCTAATCGTAATGATCGGGGCTCTCCAACGAAACAGCACGGACCATAGCCGCAGAGAGTCGTGATCTATGGTCCGTCAGCGAGGAGGCTCCGCCTTCTTCCCCAGTCTTCCCCAATTTCAAGACACATATTTGGTCTGGTTATTAATGAACAGAATTAACAAATTAACCAAAATAGATTGGGCCCTTGCTATCACAGACCTAGCAAATATATTGCCATATGAGAAGAAAAACATGAAGAAAATGGTTCAGATTAATTTGTATATTTAACTGGACTCTTTATACAACCATCAATCAAAACCATCAATCTATATGTTGTATCTACAGTAGGCAAATACATAAATCCAAAATTCAGGTTTTGCTATACTGAACTTTATGCCAAACTTCTGCAGAAAGTTTATTGAAACACAAAAATTACATTTTTAACAAAAAAGTGAAGGAAAAAAGAAAAATAAGCTCTATTACCTTTACTTCAGTTAATCGGTAATCAGGAGGGATGGTTTCTTCTTTTTCCCCAAGTTTCTCATGTTTCTTTTTCTTTGATTTTTCCTGGAAAACAAGAATACAAGAAATAGAAACTTTCACTGTACATTTTCACTGTAATTCATTAGGATTGTCCCATTGATTTGTATTATACTTATAAAATAATAACTAAATCTATTGTTGACTATCACAGAAATTCTTTCAGCCAATTCCCTACCACATGAAGAGCATGAGAAGAAGAATTCAATGAGTAGCCATTTTGAGATATATTCCATAGCAACACCCATGCTCCTCTTCTTTCATGCAGCTTTCAAAATCCAATTATAGAATATCTTGGTTGTGACTGCAATGATGTCTGGTAAGCTTTGAATTACTTAAGCATAGTTTGTGGAACAAGCCATAACTGATTGAGTTCATACATCAGGCTCAGCCACAAACAAATATGTTTGGCTTCACACAGTGCATGAAGCCACAAATATATATAATTATGAATATATAATGTTCAGTATTGAAATCCACGCACTGTCATGGCACTATTCCATTGTTGGAGAAATACTTTCAAAGAATTGAGAATTAAATGCTGGCAATTATAGAAAAACTACACTTCATAGCAAACTATTTTGATACTTTCAAAAAATAAAAAGGCCCCCTCCATTATAATCAGCAAATTAGATATTTTATTACTTTCACTTTATCCACAGCAGGTTTTTTTTCTTCTGGAGCAGGCTCACTTTTTCCTAGGCTTCCAGACAAGGCTTCTAGTGCTTCATTAGTTGCTTGTGTGCTCTATAAATAACATAAGCAAAATCAATGAAGAGGTATTTTTAAAACTGATTGCAAAATGAGAAATATAATATTATTGATCTCAAATTTAACATGAAATAACAGTCAAAAAACTTATTATTATTATTATAATACAGTAATGTAGAACTGGTTAGACTAAGTAAAAAAAAGTTAGTAGAACTTTTTTAGACAAAATTTATATGGAATTTTCTCCTAGATTAATTATATTTAAATACTAGTTTGCCAAAGCTTATTAAATTGGACTTAACCCCTCCTGAATCAGGGAAAAAGCTTCAATCTAACAACCCCAAATATTTAAAAAAGAGAAAAAAAATCCAGATTATCTCAGATCCCAAATTATTTATATCAGCATTTCTCAACTTTCATATCTAGAAGATCTGTGAATTGCTACTTCTGGGTGGTCTATATTGCTATAAAGGATGTTTAAGGATGCTATGGATAGCAATAGCAATAACAATAGCACTTAAACTTATTTACCACTCCATACTGCTTTACAGCAACGGTCCCCAACCTTTCCGGTGCTGGTAGTGTGACAGGGAGGGGAGAGGGAATAGTATTGCATATGTGTGCCACTTGTACAAATGCAGCTTTGCATGCTTGCACTCTTCTTGGTACCGGGCCATGGACTCGGGGTTGTGAACCCCTGCTTTACAGCACTCTCTGAGCATTTTACAATGTCAGCATATTGCCCCCAACAATCTGGATTCTCATTTTACCGACTTAGGAAAGATGGAAGGCTGAGTCACCCTCAAGTTGGTCACGGTTGAATTCCTGGCAGTGAGCAGAGTCTAACTACTGGGCCACCATGGCTTGGTCAATTATTGGACTTGATCAAGTTCATCTAGGGATTTATTGTATTCATTTTATATTAATTTCTATAACTGGTTACTCACTGGAGAAGTGACTGTAGGAGCTGAAGATTTCACAGAAGGCACAGTTGAAGCTGAGACAGCTTCTTCTGCGGATGTGTTCTGGGGCTTAGTTGACTTGGGCTTCTAAAGCAAAATGACACAAACAGATACTGATTACAGGATTTACCTTTGCATACGTAGATCAGGAGGCTTTATGTGTTTAACAGACAGATATAATGAGATTCAGGTCAATCTTAGCACAATTAAAATATTTGATTTAGAAAGCATCTTTATATTATATTCAAGGAATAAATCCTCTTCTGTCACATGATATTAGAAGCAAATAAAACTTTTTGTTCAGTTTTTAGATTATACATACCCACACATACAAACACTCTCTCCCTCCCTCTCGCACACACGCATACACACACACACACACACAAGCAGCTATTTGCCCTCTCAAATGTGACTTCATTTTTATGGTCTCTAAGAAGATACTCACTGGTGAAACTTCTGATGAAGCCAGAGGTTGCACAGGAAGAGCTACAGATGCAGCTACTTTTTCTTTGGGAGCTTTCGGGGGCTCATCTACCACAGGTTTCTTGGGGGGGAAATTATGAATGAATTTTAATCATTAAAAGGCATGACTGTTTGAGCACCATTAAAAGGAGTTGTGCCTAAATGTCTATTTCTCAGCATGCTACCTAAACCTTAATAAATGATGAGTTATATAAAAGCAGAATATAAAGTGAGGTTATACTATAGATGAATTTACACAATTTTTCATCTGCTTCTATCCAATGCAGTCTTTCTCAATCTGAAATTCTACTGATGCGTTGAGAAATAGTACTCTCAGATTTCTCAAAAGAGCTTCCTAGCTGAAGACTTTGTTTGATTTATATCATTGCTCATCTTACTTTTACATGACACTAAGCGGCTTACAACAAACAAATAAAATACATAACAGAGACAACATTTTTAAAAATAAATAAAAATAATAAAACATGGAATCCAGGCTTAATCTAACCAATCATCCACATCACCAAGAGACAGTGTCTAATCCATAAATAGGCACATAATCAAGTTTACAAAAGGCAGCAGGGACAGGCCAAACAAAGCGGGGATGATGTTCCAAAGGATAATGTTCCAAAAATCTCTCCTTCTGGACTCTACCAGTCAACACTTCTTAGCTGGTAGTCCTGGAACATGCCTTCTCACCATATTGGGATAGAATCAGTAGAAAAAGTAATCTAATTCAATACATATTTTTGGATTTAACCGTAGCATTTTGGGCAAAAGAAACATACCTTAGCTGTATCAGCAAGTTCAGTTGGTTTTGATTTTTCTATGGAGGAAGCAGGACAGACAAAATCTTTTGAAAATTCATCAATGAGTTCAGTCTCACTAATTGGCTGTAAAACAAAAAGAGGAAATAGATGCAGAGTAATCAATTTAAAAACAGACAAAAATAACAGAGACAATAGCAATAGCACTTAGACTTATATACCACTTCATAATGCTTTACAGCACTCCCTAAGCAGTTTGCAGAGTCAGCATATAGCCCTCAAACAATCTGGGTCCTCAACTTCAGAAGGATGGAAGGTGGAGTCAACCTTGAGTAGATCAGGATCAAACTCCTGGCAGTGGGCAGAATTAGCCTGCAATACTGCTTTCTAACCATTGCGTTACCTTGGCTCTTACACTTAACAAGTTACCATTTATCAATGGTATTCTTCAGCAGTGGTAAGAACATGATTACTATAGGGTGGATATTTGGTTGGAAATATATATGCATTTCTGTTCAAAATATTTCTTACTATCAGAAAAAAAGTTCACTCCTAAAGTGTCCGTTGCTGGGAATCAACAATGAAAGAACACTTTTGATTTCCTGTCTTCTTTCTGAATTTCCTACATGTACAGAATTGGAATTGTAACTTATAGCTCTGGACCAAACAATCCTTTGTTTTGATCTAACATGGTATTGTATTTGCTATTGCAAAAATAGAAAGGAAAAGAAAAATCTTTATTAAGAACTTCTCTCTTTGTAATATACTAGACTTCCTCCAAAGAGAACATTGAATGTATTCTCAATATATTTTGAAAAAAGAACTGATAAAATTTTCATTCAACTTGTTCTTTTTCAACAGAAGTAATAGAAAATAAATATTTTAAAAATTGTCAAATAACCTTTGGTTTCTCTTCGGCTATTGGTAACAGTGGCTTCCCATCTTTGTCCTAGTATTAAAAAAAGAATGATTGTTAAGAATGCAATTTGTATTCAATCAAAATAAAAATAGTGATGATACAAAAGAAATCCAGACTCTAACAGATTTTTTTTTCCAATTTCCCAGAACTTTAATAGTTCTATATCCTAACAATAATTAAAGTGCACAGTTGATTATTGAGAAGAAGCGGATCAAGCTATGACTGATGTAGTAAGCCTTTCGATGACATGTTGTCATCACATGACATATCGCAACTTATTTCCCCTTTGCTAAACCAGGGGTGGGGGTGGCCAGTACATGACGCATCTGGTCCACGGGCCATGAGTTTTATATCCCTGGCCTAGTGTCATCACTAGGCTTTGGCCATGCTGTCCAGTTGTCAAATTCTATATACTAGGTATGTAATTAAAGAAAATATTATACTCTGAAATTTTAGGTTTTGTTGGTGTCCAATTTATATAGTTCATTAAATGAATGGTCAAAAGTCAAGGACAACCTGTAAATTCTGTCATAGACAATCCTTTTTTACACAGTTCATAAAATTCTAAATGTTATTTTTTTATTGTATAAAAGATTAAACTAGTTGATCTAATTTCTCTGGTTTCTCAGATGCTGAATATACCACTGGTACAAACAATGTTATTAACAAATGTTGTACCAGTAAATATTGCCACTGAATCGTATCTGATAGATGACATTTGTTCTTAGCAGAGTATTTGTTAAAAATTCATCCTCAGTGAAATCAGTATCACAACTTTCATCCAATTTTTTCATATCAGCACCATTTTTCCAATTACTGTTAGTTTTTCCCATAAAGACAACTTAGAAGGGAAAAAACCATTGGAATTTTCAGATATTATATATACCATTGCTTTCTAACTAGTATAATTGTTTCTAGATATACTAGTTCTATTATATTTAGATGTTAATACTATCCATTCAGCCAAAGGTGCTGTATTTGTTCATCCCTGAGAAAATTAACACCAATTGTTGGCTTCCAGTATTTAATATTTGACAATTGGTAAACTTGATGATATAGCTCCAGATTCCAAAACCAGCCATCAACAGGCACATAGAGACAAACAATTTCTACATGCTATTCAAAAGAAACAATCAAAAAGCTAAAAGACCTCATCACTCCCTTGCCAGCAATCACTATCCAGATACTGGGTGGAATAGTTATAGTGTGCCCTTTTCATCAGTTGGTTGCAAAGGGATCAAACAAGCATTTCCATATTCTTGCCTTTCATGGCACACAAAATCAGTGAAATATGAAAAAGCAACCTGGTCAAGAATCCTAGTGCTCAAAGTGCAATTATCCCTCTTAACCTGGACACAATATGGCAAAATTTAGAAACAAGTGGCCCTAAAGTAAAATTAGTAAGGCATCAACTAAATAACTGAATAATTTGATATTCCATTGCAATTGCTAAACAACAAAAATAATATATATTGCATGTCACTAAAAAGTAGAAATTATTAGTTACCAAGGTTGGTTTTAATCTGTATTCAGGAGGAATTGTATCATCATGTTCACCAGGTTTCTTTTCTTTCCTTTCTATGGCCTTTGGCTAAAGGAGGGGGAAAAACAATTTATCAATATAAAAGATGATTCTTTAGAAATCTAAATACATACTCTATCAAATCAGTGGGATTTAAAAGTAGCCTAAATTTAAATCAATCATATCAATGAATGATATATCATATATATCTAAGTATTTTATGACTACTAAACATATAGTATTTAATTTAAAAAAACACTTTATTCCCCCATAGTTGCAACCTAATCTTATTATTTATTTATTTACAAATACCTCTTAATGTATTAAGAAGTACAACTTAATGTATTAGAAGTACAACTCTTTTACCAACAAGCAAAAATTGTTCTGGTTGGTTATTTGTATATTTGTTGATTAGATTTTTTTTTTAAAAAAATCTTGCTTTTATTACTTTAAAAATAACTCAAGGCAGTGATACCTAATATTTCTTCTTCCTCCCATTTTTTCCACACCAACAAACCTGTGAGGTGAGTTATATTAAGAGTGAGTGTCTGACCCAATATCACCTAGCTGTTTTTCATGACTAGAGTAGGACCAGAACTCTCAATCTTCTGGTTTCAACCCGGGTATCTTAATCACTAGACCAAAGTGACTCTATTTTGGGCGCGTAGCACAGATATACCTCTTCAATTTCAACAATGGAACTGGTATCTTCTTCAGGTTCAGGTTCTGGCATACCAAGTGTGTCCACAAGAGCATCCAGGGCACTATCACTAATTGTCACCTAAAATGTAAAAGCAAAGTGCAATTATTTTTAAAAAATAATACAGGGGATTCCTTATATCTGCACATGTGCTAGAATTATTGGACATAATGCTGTATTGACCATTCAGATTTTTTAGCAATTGTTTCATAGTATAATCTACACCTGGTAGTTAAAACATTTGAATGCAGGATGTTTATGCACTTTTCCATTATAGGGCAATAATCTGTCTTTTTATATTTAATACTGAATTTCAAGTAATCGATAATAATGCAGGTTCATCAACCATAAATCCACAACCAACCTTGAAACTTGGTTAAGAACTTAGTTGCAGTATAACAATTGTGAGCTCAGGAAAGTAGAGTGATCTATATATGAAACAATTATGAGAAGACTCAGGAAAATTAATTCCAGTTTAGTTCAATAAAAAAGGAGAAAATCCATAAATTGAATAATTTTCTAGACAAAGTGCCAAATGTGTTCTCTCCAGCATCAGTGCTATACTTATTATTATTCAATATTAGATAGTAGATTAATGTCATCCTAATATGCTTTTATAATTTGTTTGTGATCCTGTGCATCAATAAACATTTGGAATGATTATAACACAACATGTAACACAGGTAGGAAGGAAATAAAGAAGTCATGCCCAATAAAACATAATAGCCACAGTGAAAAGAACTGATCACTTTGGCAGACAATGAAATCACATCCTGATTTAACATCTGAAATTCAAACATAGATGTGTTTGAAATCTTGCAGAAACTAAAGGATATATACTTTATGTGTGCATTATCTGTATTTTTAAATAAGAACTCAACCGCCTTTAGATATCAGTTGTACCTTAAATTGTTCAGAGGTTCATAATATGCTATAGATTACTGACATTTTCTCATCTAAAGCCTTCTGGTAGATAGGCCGCATTAAGATGAAACACAGTAAGATCCTCATTTTAAAAGCATATTGGAAAATGCTGAGTGAGAAAAGTGGCAAAGATAAAAATATTTTCTTCAGTTGCAAAGACTCATCCAATGAATGAAGTTTAAATCCAATTAATATGATTCGATACAAATTCTCACAATACAGTTTGAACAGTATATGTATAATAAGGACTGAAAAAGAGCTCAGAAAGTTTGTTACCTAACTTTTGTAGTAGCCTTCCAAAATCATGGATCACAATAATTTTGTGTGTCTAATAATTTTTGAGTATCGGAACATTTAGTATAGAACAGTAATATATCTACCTCTTCCAATTTTGGTTTCTTCTCTTTGGGAGGAGCTGAACTGCTGACTGATGTTGCAGAATGGGCTTGTAAAAGCTCATCTTTGGCTGCAGGCTTATAGCATAAAAATATAAATATATAAGAAATAAATATAAACACAAAATTTATTGGCATAAATTTTAAAAGCAACGCATTAAATCAACATTAATGTATTAATGAGTGTATTAATGTATTAAAAGCAATGTATTAAATTAAATATACTGCTATTGCTAAAGCAATGTATTAAAACTTTCTTTTTAAATGGATATTTCAAGCTTGGCAATATTCCTTTAAGACAGTAAAACCAGTACCTCTTTTGGCCTGACTTCCTTTTCTCCAGCAGATGGTACAGTAGTGCAAGTGAAATCAGATGACAGCGCATCTGCAAGGTCATCGTCTGTCATTGTTGGCTAAATGAAAACATAAACTTGGTTAGACTTATACTAGTTGCCCAATAGCTCTTTACAGGTTATGGGCCCCTTATAGGCAAATACTTCATAGCCAAATTAGCCAATTTCTAATCTGGAAGCACCCATCATTCTCTACTAATAGAAGCAGTAACATCAAAATTGAAGACAAGGATGACAAAAAGAGATGATTTGCAATCTAGTTTTGCAATGACTTGCTTTTCTACTAGCAGTTCTTTGCTATTCAGTTGTTGCATTCACACATAATATCAAGAGTGTTTTTTTAATGGTGTGATTCAAATAAAATGCAGCTAGTCCTCGTATTAAGACCATTTGTTTAACAACAATTCAAAGTTATGATGGCCTTGGAAAAAGTGATTTATGACCTGGATTCACACATATGACCATTGCATGGTTCTTTGCTTAAAATTGTCATAACATTTGGTCCAATTAGACTTATGATTTATGATGGAAATTCTGGTCTCAATTGTGATTGTAAGTCCAGGACTACCTATATTAATCCAAAATGGAGGTCATACAATGGCAAAAACAAACCAACATTATAATTTAGCACAATAAGTGAATACAGCAAGTGTGATTATAGAGTTGAAGAGAAAATTGACCATCAAAACACCAGTGAGGGGTTTTTTCCTGTATAGATACCTGGTTCTTCCAAAATTATTCTGAAAAGATAGCTATTATTTGAACATAAGCGGGGAATCTACCCCGTTTTCCGAATTACTATTTATTTGTTTAAAAAATCCTTTCCAACAGAATTTTAACAGAGAAAATATTATTGTTTCCCCTTACATTCTATTAGAAAATATTGCCTTGATTGATTTTTTTTCTGGGATTAGTCTCCAACATGAAACTATACATGTCTTAACTTAGCAAAATATTTTGAAATAATTACAGAATTAAAAGGGATTCTGAATTTTATTCAATGACTGTGCCCCATTTATTTTATATTAGAAATGAAAAGCCACACCTTATAGTCTGAATCCACAATTCTTGTTCATAACAAAAAAATTATTGTATTTATACCACATAAAGTACAAAAACTTTTCTACATAACATTCTGTATCGAATCCTAGAGATTACTTATTGAATTCAACAAAAATGATACTATCTATTCAGTTTTATGTGCCAAACAAATTGTTTAAAACTGCACATTTCTAGTGGTTTGAGTTAGTCACTTGTATAACACCATGACTATTTATATATAGGAAATTGGTTGCATCCCAACAAATCAGTTTTCTCTGTAATATTAGATTAAATATTAGATTCAATTTTCAAATGTTTTGGAGCAGGTGGGAACATAAGCATAGTACCTGACTGCAAATCCTAAAACAGAAGCGTTTTTTCTCAGGATCATCCAAAATGTTTAAGATGTTGCACTCCAGATCACCAATTGTGTCAAACTCAATTTCACTTAGGGCTGCATCAGGACTGTGTTTGACCTCGGGGGCTGGGTGGACGTGGCTGGGGTAGGCATGGCCAGTTCAATGTCCCTCGTGTTGGGGGCACTTGTGGTGGTCAAATGCTAAGGCAGGACTTCCCTCAGACCTTTCCTCACTCTCATTATCATCTTCCTTCCTTCCTTCCTTCCTTCCTTCCTTCCTTCCTTCCTTCCTTCCTTCCTTCCTTCCTTCCTTCCTTCCTTCCTTCCTTCCTTCCTATTCTTCTTTTTCCTTTCCTCTTCATTCTCCTTTCTTCTTCCTTCCTCTCTTTCCTTATTTTTCCTTCCTTGCTCTCTTGGCATCTTTCCTTCTTTTTCTTTGTCCTTCCTCTTTCCCTTTCTCCTTTCCTGTCCCTTCTTGCATGTTCAAATGCAAAAGGGGAAACATTTGTCCTTTTGTTTGGTTTTTAGTTTGTTCTACCAGTGAAAACAGAGCCGGGGATGGTGGGGGCTGCATGCAGCCCTTCCAGAGCCTGTTTTCAACAGCCTCTTCAAGCCCTCTGCTAGTGAAAATGGAGCTCAAGGGGCATGTGCCCCCTACCCCCAAACTCTTTTTCGCTGGCAGAGGGCTGCAGGAGACCATCGCAGCATGTTTTTGCTGGCAGAGGCATTGCAGGCCAGTCCTTTGCTGTTTCCAAGGTGGCCCTGCGGGCCAGATCTAAGCACTCTGCAGGCTGATCCAGCCCATAGGCCTTGAGTTTGACACCCCTGAATTAGAGATTAAACTCAAAACACTGCATGATCCTATTATATGTACCTAAACCTATTGGTTTGATTTGTGTTTGAAACAAGCATGGATAACTGTATATGCAAAGAACAATAATAATTTTCTCTGTTCGCATTTTGTAATGAACCAATTAACCATACCTGTGATTCTTCCACTGCAACTGATGGAGAAGCTATTTTATCATCACCTTTACTCTGAAAAAGAAAAGTATGTTTGTGATGATATTTTAGGCAATTTGCCGCATAGGAAACAGCTGAAACATAATTCAGGGTAGTTTATACCTCCAATAATTTCCTGTATTCTGGAGGAATTGTGCTCTCCCGTTTGCCCAACTCTTCTATATTTAAGGAAAACATTGGATCCTACATCAAAAGAAAAGTTACATTTTATTCTTGAGCTCAACAATTAATTCACAGTTACATGAAAGATATTTCCATAAGATTCCAATTTATTAAAAAATATATAATTTTAAGTTCATTTTAATACTAGTTAGTTATCCATTCAAAACAGTAATCCATAATATTTGGTAAAAATGACTGTGCTTATGGTAGGAAAAATCAATACAAGCTGATGTCTACATCTGTAAATGTCTGTTCTGTTTTCTTATTCTATCACTATTGTACAGAACAAATTGCATTTTACCTCAATTACCTAACAATTGAGAACTGCAGTTCACGTTAATAAGACAAATTATAATACCTAATACTTAAAACATGCTGGGTTTTAAAATAACATACCATCTGGCAGGAGGTGATAATTATCAGGATAACTGAATTATTAAGAGTAATTATTGGAAATGGAAATAAACTTACTACACTTTTGAAGAAGAAAAAAGCCCTTGCTTAGAGTACAGAAAATGATTATTCTTCCTCTATATTTTGAGATCCAACTATTAGCTTCTTCTTATCTGACTATGTGAATAATTAAAAAAAATATTAACCTACCAAGTTATACATTAATGATGGTTAGATTAATTCTTAATACAGTGTTTGTAAATACCCAAACCTTCTTTCTCCTACATTTTTATTACAAAGAGAGGGAGGAAAGTCCATAGGCATAGACATATTTCCAAACATTATAGTTTGAAATAGTTCTCTCTTTTTGCTGTTCTATAACTTTTATTCCTCCCAGAAACTGAGCAAGAAGCCATTCAATTTCCCTGTTTTCTAATATGTAAATTATAAAGAGCATATAATTTTTTCACAACAGTGCAATGCTATCTCTAATGGTTCCTAGACCAGATTACCATTCTACGATAGATATAGAATGAAAATATGGGAATATTTAAGAAAGGAAAAAGACTGGATTGAAGCTGTTTCTAAAGTTTCAGAAGATGTTGCAAATGAGTCAGGAATATACAGAGATTCTCAAAATGCAATGGGCTGCCTTTTGAAAATCTGTGCATAGCTTCATCATTGTGCTATATATATATACGCCTACCATGTTAAGTAAATGTGTTTATGGGGAACAATTCTACATTCTGAAAATTTAGGTCAGTCACTTCACCTAGACCTATTCCTATGGAAGCAAGCTCTCCTAAATTCATTTGGACTTAACATCTGAATTGAAACTAAATAATCACAATATGCTGGTAAGCAATACAAAATAAAAAATTTGAAAAATGCATAATAGTTCAAGGATGTCACACGAGGAAACAAAATTTGGAAAAACATTATTTTACTTGCATCCACATTTACAAAATGTAATTATAAAAATGCAGATTTCATGCATAAGGTTCTTATAGAAAAAATTCCATACCGAAACTTCCGGTCCAGTATATGTAGGAGCAGGTGGTTCATTTTCTTCAGGACTTCCAAGTGTATCTATTAAATCATCTAAGGCAGTATCTAAATCAGACTAGGAAAACATTTTTTAATAATATATAACACTGGCATGGAGTAGTTGATTACTAGAGTGTTCTATAGCAATACATTTATTATTTCTTTAGTAAATATATATACAGCTTAAAATTATTATAATCAAATGTTTAAAAACCAATACAGTAAAATCTAACAAATCAGAGATGGTATTCAGCAGGTTCTGACCAGTTTTGAATAGTTAGGAGAACTGGCAAATACCACCTCTGACTGGCCCTGCCCCAATCTATTCTCTGCCTCCCGAGTCCCAGTTAATCAGCTGGATCTTCTTTTGTTGCCCTGCACAGCAGAACGGAGCTGGAAAGCAAGTTAGTGGGGTGGGAAGGGAATGGGGATTTTGCAGTACCCTTCCTCTGCCACGCCTACCAAGCCACGCCCATAGAACCGGAAGTAAAAAAAATTGAATACCACCACTATAACAAGTCATTTAAATTGTAAAATGTTTCAGTAAAATATTTATTTATTTATGTTATTTGTTTATTTATTTATTTTGTCAAACAATTATTAGATAACAAGTATAAGTATAAACATGGTTATAAATATATGAAATGGATTCAAATAAGAAAAAAGAAAGAAACAATAGGACAGGGACGGTAGGCACCTCTTAGGAAAGGGGTCAGGTCAATAGTAGACAATATTGTACTGTTACTATTGTATTATATACTATTGTATATTGTATCAATAGTAGTACCCAAAGTTATAGTTTATCTAACCTGGAAATATTTTACCATTGGACAAACAAACTTGGTCAGTACTATATGGTAGAGACTTGCTAATAGAAGAAAGAAATAACTTGGCTGTTAGAAATCCAGATATCTAGTTTTTGTAATTAGCAGAATGTAGGAAATAGGACTTGAAAATGCAGATAAGGAGTTTTTAGTATACATAAAAGGTAAACTTTTAAGAAAATTGGAATGAAAGGAGGGGGCAAGATTACCCAGAAGAAGTAAGAGGAAGAAACAAATGTTGAATTTAAAAAGATATAAAAGGTGTGGTGCTATGAGTACAAGACAAATGTCTAGAGAGAAAGATAATACAGGCTTAGGGATTCTGCTTGACATCAGTAAGCTTGACTCAGAGAGACCACACCTAGAAGAAATGACTGGGGGGAGGGGGGGAGGAGGAAGTGGATAATTTAGTAAAACACCTGAGGAGTAAAAAGGACTTGAGGAGAGATTTACAGACAAACAGAAAAATTACTCAAATGCAAGCAAGCAAAAAGGCAGAGATTTAAAGGGAGGAAAAAGTTATTCATGAGTCAGGCAGCTTAAAAAGACAAAAGGAGGAACAAAGCTTTCCAGTCAGAGCAGTAAGAGAAAGATTATATGTGCCACACACACATTTGATTATTCTAGTGTGCATATACATTTGTATATGTAGTACAATATACATGTTTTATTTTCTCAGGAGTCAGCATAGTAATGATGGGGAAATTACAATTTGAAATATAGCTGATCGTGCGTATTTAAAAAAAAGAAAATCAAGATTATCCATGCTGGCCAGCTACTTTTAAAATGGTGCTTGAAAAAAAGAATAATGCAGCAGTAGAATACACGGTAAGTAAACCCTTGTTTACCTTTTCTGCTGGTTTACTGTCTGCAGTAACAGGGGTAGGAGATGCCTGTTTATGTTCTTTAGTCTGAAAATAAGAATGTATTTCTGAGAGCTAGTACATAATTTCACATGCACATACTAATAACCACCACTAAACTCACCTCTGCAGTTGCAGCAGTCAAACCAGCAGCTGCAATTGTTCCAGCTGTGCCAACAGCTGCTTTGGAAGCCAATGGTTTCTTGTCAGTGCCAGCCTAAGGTGGAAAAGGGTAAGATCAGCTAAGACAAAGTACCACTAATATTTAGAGCAGCCCAAATTCTAAGCAGAAAATGTCATTCAAGCATGATTTTACGTTGGTCATAAATAAAAAGCATAACATGAAATCATTTACCACAAGCATAATTCAGAATTACTGCAAATCTTGCATAGACAGGTAGTCCTCGACTTACAACAGTCCGTTTAGTGACTGTTCAAAGTTACAATGGCATTGAAAAAAGAGATGTAAGACAGTTTTTCATACTTATGATTGTCCCTGAGATCATGTGATCCAAATTCAGACACTTGGCATACTATGACGGTTGCAGTGTCCTGAGGTCATGTGATCACCTTTTGCAGCCTTGTGACAAATAAAGTCAGTGGGGAAACCAGATTCACTTAACAGCTGCGTGACTAATTTAACTGGAATGATTCACTTAACAATTAACAATTGGGACAAGAAAGATCATGAAATGGGGCAAAATGCACTTAACGAATGTTTCACTTAACAACATAAACTTTGGGGTCAGTTGTGGTTATATTTTCATTTCTAATTAATACTTTATTCTTTATGAGATACAGTAATCCTAGAACATTGCCTAACAAAAGGATCAACAGTGCAATTCTAGCCATGCAAATAAAAATATGAGAGGAAAAAATATTTTATTGGCCATGCACAATGATATTCTATATAGTGGTACATTAAATCTGAGATATTTAGGAAAATAACATTTTCTAAATAATTCAATAAGCTTATAGTAGGAATATGATGTAACCCAGTCTAAGACACTAACTACTGCCTTACAAAATGCTTATATGTTAACCAATGCTTACTAAATGGAAACTCTGTTCTGAATCTATAGTAACATTTTAAAGTACATTTTTAAACAATCAGACTAAGTTACTGCAAAATGCATGCACTTAACTATTATGGAGGATCAAAGAGTGGCTTGTATATCCTGCTAGTGGTCAATTTTGTAATATAAAAAAGCAACCAACTATGAGGTTTCACCTAAATAAATCTAAATTATCCAAGTACTCGAAATTGCCTTATTGCTCTGCAGACAAGAAGAATAAAGAGAACAAGAGAACAAGAACAAGTACAACAAGAACAAAAAGAAATCCCACAACCATAATTTCTTGTTTATATATAACAGGTCGTAATTACACATCTGGAATATATTCTAATCTGTTTTAAGAATACAGAAAAAGCGAAAGTTATTTACCAAAGTGGTTTATGTAGAAATACATCTCTCCTCACTTGTCCCTCTTAGTCTTTGGGATTCCTTCTCTACCAGTTTTTCTCATTTTGTTGCTCTCCAGATTAACAAATTCAGTTCCCACAATTCTAACTTAGCATGGCCTATGGTTAGGAATCCCAGTAATTTCTGGAGTGTACCATTTCGGGGAAAGCTATCATAAACTTAATATAAGAAATGCTACTTGAATATTTTCATTAGAAAAATCACCTTACCTTTGCTTCTTTAGCTGTTGCCAACTGTGTTGACTTGGCATTTTGACCAGAGGTTTCTTTTCCCAAACTTGGTTGCTTAGCCTCCTTCCCTAAAGAATCTTTGCTCGAACTTTTTGCCTGCACAAATATATTTTAAAATCTTTAAGTATGTGTTTACACTAATTTGCATTTAAAGTAATTTTTATCATAATATGTAAACCAATTACCCCTCCAGGATCTCTCTGCTTCCCTTCAACTGGACAGACAGGTTGAGGTTCATCTGCCTGAAACACACACAGTAACATGAAAACTTAATGAAACCTCTTTTATACTGATTTTTATTCTATAACAGAATGCTCTGCATTATGAACAAAATAATCAAGTAATATTATTACTTTCCCTACACAGTACAAATTTCAACACTGTGCAGACATATATCTTCTAATATAATTACATTGTAATTGATATATATTCAAATTAGTCATGTACCCCTGCCTGATTATTAAAATATAAATCCCACCAATAAGATGGACACAGTCCTTCAAGGGGAGGGTAAACGTTTACATTCTAACTTTCCACTAGTATCAGATTTCTCTAAAGATAACAAATACTTAAAAGTTGAGCCATCAAATGCGTTGAATGAATATAAGCCCATTCATTTCTATATAGTTTAAAATAATGTTCATACTAGCTGCAATACGTATTTAATGCACACTCAAAATAAAGGCTTTTCATCCTACCTTTTTGTCTTGTAGTGCTTTTTCAGGTTCTGTCTTTGGTTTTTGAGTTGCCTGCAATATGATAAGTAAAAGAATAAAAAAATAATAACTTAATTTACACTTTTCAATGGCTACTGCAGGAAGATTTTCTGCAAGCTTTGTATAACTTAAAGTCTCTGGAGCTTTTGTGAGAAGGTTATAACTAAGATACCCCAAAAGTATTTCTATGGCTTTGGGCACTATTTAAAATGACACAAACTTATACAATTTATTTATTTAAAACATTAACCAAATTCTGGGTGACTAACAACCAAGAGTAAAACAATATACATATAATAATATGTACATATACATCATAAATATACATAACATACACATAATAAAAGCCAAATACAATAAAACTCTGCATGGTATAAAAACAACTTAACTTTCCATAGTGCATAGACAAAATAGTTTACCATCTGTGACAAGAGCAGAATGAAGAAAATTAAATCTAAATGTATTAGTTAACAAACGATGAAATGTTAGGGTGGTATTTATGAGAACAATTTAAATCATGAATTAGAGGAAAAAATACAAAATTCAAATCAGAAAGTGGGATTGAGAGCAAATTGGAATTTAGGATTACTTTTACATCATCTTAAATATTAAGCACGTATAATAAGCATCTATATTAGCAACATATGAATTGCCCACTTCAAACTCTACATAATACTATACTTTCAATTAACTAATATCTTTATAATTGAAATAAAAGCTTTTCTCCAATGCATCCACACATTTTAATACCGTACAACTGTTATCAAACACAAGCAGAAAAGCAGAAACCTCTAGCTTTCTTGTCTTTTAAACAAGAAGAAATTCGCCAAAAGCAAATCTATATCATTCTCTAGGACATAAGTACAGTATTAAACCACAGTAGACTAAATGGTAAGTAATAATATTAGACTGCTTTTATAAGATACATTTTCAAAGTGTGCTGTGCCATGAGAAGAGATTGCAATGTGATCATACAAAAGGAAGGCAGAAGTAAGCTAGAATGTATTAGTTTAGAACTAATGAATGAGCACATGCTTGCAATGTGGCTGCTGTTATTATCAAGCATAAACACACACAGTCCAGAGTCTGTATCACCTTCTTCCTGTTTCTTTTTCTTTTCTGGGAATCCACTCCACGTGTCTGCTGTTGGCTTGAGGAAGCCTAGTATTGGGAGTACAAACTCAGGATCTTGGAAAGAAATTGCTCAAGATATAACAAGGAAACTTCTTACTAATCTCATCTTTCTATCCTCACGAAATGGTGAACAAAAATATCTCTGTTGATTGATACAAAAATAACTAGGATTCTTATTTCTTATTTTATTGAATTATGTAGTGAAGTGTGTGTGTGTGTGTGTGTGTGTGTGTGTGTATTGACTAGGGCCATGAAGCACTTTGAAACTGAAAGAATAAAGATATTTTAAAACAGATGTGGTGGCAATTGTACCATTTGTTGCAACTCCTTAATCTAAAAATATTGTTTCTAATAAAAAATTAATTGCTTTAAGGAATTTGACCCAATGCTATATGAGGGCTACTGATACTGTGAAGCATGTTTTCCCCTTCAAATCCACAGCACTGCACTTTCAATCTATAGACTTGTTGCCTTGACAAATGTGGATGCTAAGATAACTACCGGTATTTTGATTTATTAACTTGTTCCAAGAACTGAGTTTTCTCAATTTCTGTACTCCAAGTTAAACTTTATTATGTATTATTTCTAATGGTACAACCTGTCCTTTTGTGTGTGTGTGTGTGTGTGTGTGTGTGTAAATGTCAAGTTCGTCCTTTAAAAAAAAATTAGATTCTCTTTTCTGGATAATTAATTCCAGAAATATATAACTCTGTGTCATATCTGCTCACTATATAACTTGGAATAAATCAGAGTTTTGGAAACAATGTATACTACACAATAAGTAGATGAGGTGATTTTTCTGTTTTCTGAGTACAAAGATTCCTAAGAAAGTCCTTTCAACTGAAAAAAATTGTATTTATTCCCTAGATTGATGTACAAAAATCTAGATAATGTAGTATTCTGCTGAGTACATGAGTATAAAGTAAATATAATTAATACACTCAAATCATTTTATTCTATGAGATGTAACATCTTCCCTGGGTTAATGAATGGAAAGTTTTGCCAACTTGCCACTTGACATCTTGGCCCATCTTGGAAATGGATATTTGCCAACCCTGACATAAAAGAATATGGGGCTATTGCCGAAAATGAAGGATGACAATGGCACAGGGATTGTCAGTGAAATAACTGAGTTTGCACAACATCACTGATTATGCATGTGCACACACAGTATGTCCAAGGTCGAAACAGGTGCATGAGCTTACATTATAGCACACTGGCTGAAATTAAGGTTCTTTTCCACATGTTTGAGGATTCCCTTATGGAGGATAAATTATAAATCAACATGGGTTACAACTATTTCATAAAAAATCCAACATCTTGGCCTTTCCAAGGAGCAGCTCCCTTAAACGTCAGGAAATCCAACAGCACCTGTCTTTCTCTACCCAGGAACATTTTCTTGAACAATCAGATCTCCCTTCACTAACCAGTGAGATAGTTATATCATATAACTGTATCTAAATTCAGAGGGCGCTAACTCTAACCTGTTGTAACACTCTTCCCCATAGCAGTTCTGATGAGCTGATTTTTAAAAAGTCCCATGTGAACTGAGATTGCGCCCTGTGGACAAGGGGCCATTGAGACCACAGCTCATGTCCTGCTATATTACACCCTATATAAGGTCTCACCAACTCATTCTATAACTCCTTATCTGACAAAGTACCTCTTTTATGTACAGTTTTTACTATCAAATCAATAGGATACAGTTTCTTTATCGCTACGTCCTGCTATACTGTCGTAAAATTGGGTAGATTCTGGTGACCCAATCATGGTCAATCATTAATTGTAATACACTCTTGCTCTGTTTTGTTTTGTTTTAATGTTTTAATTTTTATTCTGTGGCCATAATAAAATATTGAATCGACAATATGAGAAAAGGGAGTTTGTTTGTTTTTTTACTTTTTTACCACATGTGTCTATGATAATAGAAAAATGTAAGAAAGTTCAACATTCAGCACAGCAGATTGATAATAAATGTACCAAGGTATAAGAGAGTGGAAATAGAGGTAGTAACATCTTGATTTTAAAAAATTAAAGGCTAAAAGTTTTTTTTAAAATGGAACATTATTTGGATACATGTCATTTTATTTCCATCCTCAAATAAAACCAGAATCTTAGCCTTCTAACTGAATTAAACTACAGCTGTATGACTTTTATATGATCTCATTGTGTCCTCACCATTCAAAACAAAGGATGAAATAAACTGCTGAATCATATCCCAAACGCTGCATACAGTGGTGGGACTCAAATTTTTTTACTACCGGTTCTGTGGGCGTGGCTTATTTGGTGGATGTGGCTTAGGGTCACATGACTGGGTGGGCGTGGCTTGGTGGCCATGTGACTGGGGTGGTCATATGACTGTGTGGGCGTGGCTTGGTGGTCATGTAACTGGATGGGTGTGGCCAACTCAATGTCATTCACATCAACGGGTGCCTCGCCTGGCCCCTCCCCTCCCCTCCCAGCCATTCCTTGTCACATCTAGCCTCAACATATCTATAGTTCTGTAAAAAGTTGTTCACCTTTTGTTGACTTTATTATTTACGTACTATAGGTGTACTTTCATGGACCACTGAAAGGAGGAAATGGCTCACATGCTTTGCCCAAGAGGGTGATAGGCAACAGGCTTTTAGGGAGCTGCCAGAAAGAGTGGGGGGCAATGTATTTTCCAAAGCACCAGAAGGCAAACAATGTATTTTCCAAAGCAGGATGGAAACTGAACACAGAGAGAAGCAACCTAAAAGTAAGGAGAAACTTCCTGACAGTGAGAACAATTAACCAGTGGAACTGCCTGTCTCCAGAAGTTCTGGGTGCTCAATCACTGGAAGTTTTTAAGTAAAGACTGAACAGCCATTTCTCTGAAACGGTATAGGGTTCATCCCAAGGTCCCTTCTAAGTGTTATTCTGTTATTCTGACACCTTTCCCAGGACCTCTACTCAGAATTTGACACCCTCAGTTTTCCTACCTGACAGGGGGTTGGACTAGAATACCTCCAAGGCCCCTTTCAACTCTATTAAACACACACTATAGATATGTAAACCCTGAAAAATACCTGGGCAAAAGAAAGGCAATAAAATCACTCTAGGTGTAGGGACAGTATAAAATATTAATATATGATAAATAATGGAACAATTAAAAATAATAGCACTGAGTTTTCTCTCTCCCCCACTTCCTTCTTCTTTTTTCTTTCTCTCTCTCTTTCTTCCCCTTCCTTTCCTTCTCTCTCCCTCTTTCTTTCTTTCTTCCTATTTTTCTTTCTTACTCTTCCTGTTGTCCTCTATTTCTTTCTCTCCCTTCCTTTCCTTCCTTGACTCACACACACACACACACACACACCTTTTCTGGGAAGAACTTATTGGGCAAACTCGAGAGCAGCGAGCGGCGGGACAAAGAAGAAAGCAGCAGCCCCGGAACATCCATCTGGCCTCCCTTTCGAAGCACAGGGGCAGCAGGAGCTGGCACTCCGAAAGGCAGGGAGAAAGCAAACAGAAAGCCTTTCCATTTGCATTCCCTACTGTGCTGGGGATGGGGCTGAGGGGGCGGCGGTGGGCGGGGGCACCCCAAAAGGCAGGGAGAAAGCAAACGGAAAGGCTGGGGCTGAGAGGGGTGACGGGGGCGGGTGGGGGTGCCCCGAAAGGGAGGCTGGGAATTCTGGAGCTGCTTCCCATAGCTGCGCTGTGGCTGCCGCTGTCCCCCCAACCTCTGGACTGGTCCCAAAAAGATGCCCCACCTTGGTCTCCTCCCACACAGAAAGTCCTGGGCGGTGGGGGGCAGGCCCGGAAAGACCCCAGGGGTGGGCAAGGGCCTAGTGTGATGCAGGCTTACCTGTGAGCAGGGCAGGCAGATCAGGGCTGCTCAGTTGTGGTGCAGGCACCACGTGGGGAAATCAGGTTAGGCAAGCCACGAAGGGCCCAGCATGCCACATAGGAAAGGAGGAGTGACTGGGTGGGGCAAGCAGCGGGTGGGTGAGCTGTGCGAGCAAGCAAGCATCAGGTGGGAGGGGCAACTAAGCGACTGAGGACCAGGGAAACAGTTCGGGGGTGTGGCCAGCCAGAAGTCATTACCAGTTCCGTGACCCACGCCAAATTCTTTCTACTGGGTCGCCAGAAATGTTGCAAACCGGCTGAATACTACTTCTGGCTGCATAGCTTTGGATTATAAATGTTGCTAGTTTCCCCAAAAAGCCAAAAGAACTTGTTACCAAGATACTGAGGTTTATTGAATAGTTCAATTTCCTCGTGATTCTGTTGGTTCAATTCTGGGAGATGTTTTATTTTCTTTGGTTTATATCTTGATTATTTCTCTTGAATTTAGACTGTGGTTCAATGAACATTTACTAGAGAAAATGCAGTCAACTCAGTTGAACTTACTTATAAATTACTGTGCAGAGAACTGCATTAACAGGTCACATTCAATGTGCTTGCTTTATGTAATGTTTAGCATTGTATAATTTGAGCTGTGGAAAACTAGTTGATAGATTGTTCTTCAACTAGTAGGATTTATTTGGCCATTTCTGAGCTCAGCTGGAACTATTATTTTACTTTTTAACAAAACTCTACTTTTATCATGCAGACATGAAAGCTATCTTATCCTAGATCTGGCTGATTTCCCAGCAACCCCAGCAACAATGACAATAGGGATGGATGATAGAAATAGTAGTTCAGGAACACCTGAAGGTTCCCTCGCAGCTTAATACCAAATCTATGTAACTATGTGCCCTTAATACAAGTAATGCCATAGTCTCAATACTGTTCTAGATTCAAACAATCTTAAAATTTAGGAGTATGCAGAACAAAGCAAAGTTCATTCTAGCAGGCTGGGTGACAAGGAATAATTTAGGTTAATTTGGATGGGAGTTACTGTTTGAAAATGGTCAGTCATAAAACAATTATTTACAATGCTATTTGAGGCTGATGGAAGCTAAGTTCCACAATAACCCTAGGAACAAGATTGCTAAATAGATCTAACAGCATGAAGGATTATTCTTTGAGACATGCTGTATTACAGAGGTATTTTCTTTTTGTTGGTGTAACCTCTTTCTGGAATTTTACAGCCAATATGCTATTTTAGTCCTGATTATTTTTGGGGGAAATAATATAGTACAGTCATTTTCCAGGCTCCTATATTGCTACACAAATGTATTTCATCCCCATAATTTTACATGCCATTTTGGAATTTTGAATTTTGGAGTGTACATTAGTACATAAAACTCTAAACTTGACAAACATATACAGATAGACTTTAATTTACAACCATTCATTTAATGACAATTTAAAGTTATGACATTGTCAAAAAAGTGACTTATGACTTTTCCTCACACTTGCAACTGTCAGTGTCCTCACAGCCATGTGATCAATATTCAGATGCTTGGCAACAGTTGTAGCAACCTGGGATCACCTCAGAGATGGTATTCAGCAGGTTCAAACCAGTTCAGTAGAACTGGTAGCGGAAATTTTGAGTAGTCCGGAGAACCGGCAAATCCCACCTCTGACCGGCCCCGCCCCCATCTCTTCTCTGCCTCCCCTTGAGTCCCAGCTGATTGGCTGGGTCTCCTTTTGTTGCCCTGCACAGGAGAACGGAGCTGGGAAGCAGGTTAGTGGGAGGGGGGAATGGGATTTTGCAGTATCCTTCCCCTGCCACATCCACCAAGCCACACCCACAGCACCGGTAATTTAAAAATTTGAATACCACCACTGGATCACCTGATCTCCATCTGCAACCTTCCCATGGGGCCCCCAACAAGCAAAGACAATGGGAGAATTCATATTTTCTTAAAATATGAAAAAAGCATAATAAAAATTAAGCAAACGAGGTAGTAAAATTGGATGCCATTCATTTAATGACTGCATCACTTAGCATGAAAGTTCCAATCCTGATTGCGGCCATAAGTTTGGACCTATCTGCACAATAATTATATTTTTGTTTGAATAATTTGCATTCAATATACACGGATTAGAATTAATGATATAAGTATCTAGAAGATTAACCTTATTGATTGTGTTTTAGAGAAACAGTAATAACATCTGTAAAATTTCTTCATGCTAATTAAGGAACTTGCAATATCAGTGCCTACTGTATAAAAATGTGACCGTTTTCTAATTAAACAAGAATAAAGTATAGGAAAAGATATCATTGGGGAAATTATATTAATTTTTTCTCCCAAAGGTGCTTTTTTTTCTGAGAAGCAACTGGACTTTTTGTTTTTTTGTTGAAGACATTTTGCTTCTTATCCAATAAGCTTCTTCAGTTCTGACTGAATGGAAGGATTTATACTCCTTGCAGACTCTGTTCTTTCAACAGTTCAACAGTTCCAAGAAGGCTCCATACCAATTTGTACCACTCAGGTGATCCTGATGACACAGATAAACCTCCGGGTGACCTTAACGACCTGCTAAAAGAATGCAAATGACCAGCTGCCTGCATGGAGTATAAATCCTTCCATTCCCCACCATAGCTGAAAAAGCTTATTGGATGAGAAGCAAAGAAAAAACCAGAAAGTCCAGTTGCCTCTTGGAAAAAAAAAAAAAGCACCTTTGGGACAACCATGACCTGGAGGACTGAAAATCTCTATAGACATATATTAACTTTTGTTTCCTGAAAATAGGATAGCTGCAGTAATTACAGTAATGTAGGAAAAGGATAGTCCAAAATGCTGCCCTTTTATAAGAAAGCTCCTGACCCTGACCCTAACCCTAACCAAGCATTAGGAAGCCTAAGAGTCACATACAGTTTCCCCTCATTTTTTCTAAGCATTAGAAGAACACAAAACAGAACTCCTGTAGAAGAAAGCAAAAATTCCTTCATAAATTAAGATACCCAACTCTATGACAACAGATTCAACTACAAGTTATATGAAGAATGATCACTAGGCCTTCTGAAAGTTGGCTTGAGCAGCTTGACAATCACTTGTATTTCTCAGTGGCTCCTTTTGCTTCTATGTTGAAAGCTTTTCACAAAGAGCCAATTAAAACACTAAATCTATTCCTGTGAATGAAAGAATGTATGTGCAGATCCAAGTTTTAACCATTTAGGAATCCTACAATTTAGATGGCTTTGCCAATCATTTTAAACCTACGTGGTTATCACATTATGCTATAAATAGAGCAATCACTTGGTCTATTTATATGAGCACCAATCTCAAGGATCAACAAATGTTAAAGGCAGACAAATAGTAATCTTGGATTCTGGCTCACAATTAAACTGAGGAACCACCAAGTGACAAGTGCAAGGCTTATAACATATAAGCCTTGATCATCCTGTCTTGCTGTAATATCATTTATTTCTTTGGTCACACTATTTTCAAAATCAGTTAAAATGAAGTAATTGAAGGCTTCAAAAACTGCTATTTAAAAAAAATTAAAATAAGCATTTTTCTCCAGATAAACTCCCAAATAGTAACAAAGGCTCTGATAAATTGCTAATAGCAGTATCTTCTCATATAAACCTTCCTAAAAGGAATTAATGTGATAGAGCATGAAAAAACGTACACTAAACAAATTCATGAGTTAAACGCACAAATTTTTCACAGTAAATCAAGACAAAGATCATACCAATAACACCATGTTTCCCCGAAAATACGACCTGCCCTGAAAGTAAGACCTAGCTTGATTGTTTACATGTGTGCCCAATATAAGCCCTACCCCCCCCCCAAAAAAATAAGGCCTAATTAAGATCCCACCCGCTCCAGAGTGCACTGGTAAAAATTGAGCTAGTGTGGGGATGGAGGGAGGGAACTGCCCTACTATTTACCTTTAGACAGTTGTAACCAGTCCTTGCACACCCCGACACCTGCCTTGCCGGTCCATTTCTTCTGCAGCCGGCAAGGCTGGCAAAGTTTTCATGAAGGCCTCTATTGCTGATAGCAAAGCTGCAGATACATCTGAAGATCTGTTATCGGCTGCAGAGGCCTTCAGGAAAGCCTCGCCGACTGCAGAAGAAGAAATTCCTGAAGGCCTCTGACAGCAAAAAGGAGGCCGGGGGGGGGGGGGGGGGGGGGGGGGCGCAATTGAGGTTAGTGGGTGGATGACATCCCCCCAAAATAAGACCTGGTGCTTTATTTGGTGGC